GAAAGAGAAATTAACTAATAATTTCACACAGTCTTGTTCTCTTCATCACTTCAAGAAGCAGTTTCATCTTCTGTGGAGTAAAAAACCCATCACACTGCCAGTAAGCTGAAAACTTTATTTGTATTAGGTCTTACTGATTTCTTCAGACTCTACAGAAAGATCAGAGTCAAATACACTTTACAGTTCCAAGTGCAGTTTTCCATGAAAAAGCTTGATTGGAGTTTCTCTTGCAAGAAAGTTGGCTTGGCTTAGCTTAATTCAGAGATGGTCTCAGGTGTTCTATGAAGTTTAAGACGGCAGGCTATCAAGTCATGAAGCTTGATAAAATACACAATAGTTTTGAAGGATTAAACAGAAATAAGGGTGATATGCTTTTATTAGAAACACATACATTTTTAATCTTTTTTGAAATCCAGACTTGCTCTCTCAGTTGTAAGAAAAAGCCTCTCCACCTCCTCTATGCTTTCTTTCAATGACTAGGAAAGGCATACAAAAGATTATTAAGTCCAATATGGCTCCAAAGCTGAAACAAAAACATTTTCCTGAATCAACTGTATACCCATTACACACATTGTATACATACTCAAAAATAAACACTGGCAAATATACAGTACAATCTTGGAAATGGCTCAAGTGGCTTTTTTGAAAACGTTTATAAAATATATAAATTCTGGCAACTGGAAGACATTAACTTGAAGACTGAACTGAACTCTGTTCATTTTCAGGGAGAAGATCTTGCATTTCTCTCCACAAGAAGGTACACACCACAATGTGCAAAAGCAGGTCCTCCCACACGTAGCTGGAAGACAACAGGCTGCTCCCCAACCTGAGGCTCACTGTCCTTCCCAAACTGAGACGATCTTTATCTTGCATGATGAACAAGTGGATTCCAAAGGTGAATGTCAGTGGTGCTATGTTTATGGAGCCTCCACATTCATTCACCACAGGCCCACAGCACCGGGCCACGCTGACCGCTCACTTGAGGCACTTGTGTCTCACACAGCTGCGCTGCAGACCCTCAGCTGTCGAGGACATCCCCTGCCGGCAGCTCGCAGGGGGAAATGTGCCAGACTTCACGCAAAGTGAAGCCACCCTCCCTACCAGGCGGGCAGTGTCCGAAAGCCCACTGCCGCCCTTCCTGGTGCTCAGCATCACCAGGCATCCCAGTCCTGCCGACGGGGAGGCAGGCACAAGGGACGAGTCTTCGTGGAGCGGAGCCGGTCAAACACCCCGGCCGGGCCCAGGCCCTCCCGCCAAGGCAGCCCTCCACCTGGAGGGATGGAGGACGTTACCCCGGGAGCCATTTCAGGAGCTGAAAGCGGGAGAAGGAGTCACGCTCCCGCCGAGCACCCC